ATCAGTTCATTTGTACGCTTATCTTCCCCACAGCATTTTCAGGCTCTCCTCGCATAAGGCTTGTTTTGTTCCTTAGTGTGCCATCAAAGTTTAGAGCAGTGGCTAAGATGTAGAAAAACTTCAATTATTTACTGATTCATCTTCCCACTGAGTATTACAGGTGGGAAAGGTGATGCTGGTCCTGGTGGTGGGAGGGAAACTGCAGCTTCTCGTGGATGTCACATTGGACACCTACCCAGCCTCCTGTCCCTTGTCTACCAAGGTTTTCTTCTCTCCCAGTTCTTGGCCCCACAGCCTACCAACATACCCAGGTGTCTAATATCCCCAAAGTAAGGTCCTCCTTTCTCTTCAGAATGAAGTTACATTAGAAGAGTTTGCTATGTTCTTTTTATCACCCATTCACTCCTCAGTTTACCAAAATCAATTTTTTTTCTCTGTCTTTTCACTGGCAGTATTCATCACTGGCCTTCTATTTGCCAAACTGGTAGGCAATTTTAGGCCTTGTTCTTCTTGTGCTTTCTTGGCATTTCATATCCACCCAACACATTCCTCCTTTGAGCCTCCACCTTCTTCTGTCTCCCTCCCTCTTTCCTCTCTTCAGCTTTAGTCTAGCTTCTCTTCACTGGTCTCCTTCCCCTTACATCATTATTTTAGTGATGATTTGTATGCTGATAACTACCAGTATTTAAATTTTTTTTGGTGCTGGGAATTGAACTCAGGACCTTGACATGCTATGCTCTACCTTGAGTTAATCCTAACTCTCACTGTTTAAATTCTATTTTAATTAAAGTAATTAACTAATTAATTAATTTGGTGGTGCTAGGGGGTGCTCTATCACTTGAGCACGCTCCCAGTCCTTCACTGTTCAAATTCAGTTCCTCTCTTGTGCTCAAGTTTATTGGGCATCTCCAGTTCCCACAGGAATCTGAAACTTGGTACAACCAAAATTGTATCTTTTCCATCCTAGATTGTGATTAATCTTATTTTCTATCTAGTTGTTCAGACTGGAAATGTTGTACCCTTGTGGTCTTGAAGAACTTCTTACTCTTCAAATACCAGTTTAAAATTCACTTTTTGGGTAATTCCTTCCGTGACTAATGCAGACAAAGAGCTAATAACCTTATTTTCTCCTCTGTCAACCATTGTCCCTTATACATTGCTATCCTTGACACTTGTGATGACCATTTGCATGCTTGCTCTATTTCTGGAGGGCAGAGACTGTATTTTCTGTCCTTGTAACTCCAGGCTATAGCAACTCCTGTCATTAGTAAATACCCAAAAAACATTTGTTGAGTACATTTTAATCTCAATCCCAGCATTGTGAGCAATTATCATGGTTAATATATTGTAATGGATTATTTAGGTAGTGGTTTATTTTTATCCTTCTCCTATTTACTCTTCAGAAATTGAAGAACTTTTCTTTAAAAAAATTTTTCCCTGAAAGTTTAGTGTGAGTAATGTATAAAACTTCTAGTGTGTTTTGAAGAGACTTCAAATATTCCTTAAAATCATGAAAAGACTATTAAATGGAATCTTTTTGTGTAGACTGTCACTTGTTTAATGAGTGACGGACAGCATATATAAAATCACCTCTGTTAAAATGCCTATATAGTTAGAAATGCAGTTATTAACCTTCAGTAATTTAAATTTGTCTGTTATAAAGAAGTGCTTTTATGCTGTATGGAATTTAGAAAATATACCCCCCCACCCACCAAAAAAAAGACATTTAGGGATGGTGATATAGCTCAGTGTTAGACCACTTACCTAGGATGTGCAAGGTCCTGGGTTTAATCTTCAGTGCTGCAGAGGGGTTAAAAAATTGCATTTAAGACCATTCATAATTTCACCACAAGGAATAACTGCTGTTATTCTGGTGTCTCTTCCCATTGTTGTTCTGAATATATAGAACATATCTAAAGATTGTAGGCCACTTTGTAATCTGTGCTACAAATGGAAATCATGTGATTTAATGATGTATTGCAATTACATAGTTTTAGAAACTCTTAGGACATTTTAATGTTTTCATAATATTCACTTATGTGAGTGAACCTTTGAACCTATGTGAATGGTGGTCTTTGTTTTTTTCCTTAATACATTATGCTACAATAAATATAAAATTTTAAAATCATTAGTCAAATGTCACTTTATGTGAGTTAATGCAGAGGTCATTACCATAAAAGCTAATTAGCAAGCTATGTAAAGAAAGAGACTGTGGTCACTGTTAGATATAGTCTCCCAAGGAAAATTTACACCTAGAATAAGAGGCTGGGTTTGTCTGCCCTGAGAGTTCATAGAGCTTTTTCAAAGGGAAGCCAGTGAACGCTGAGCTCCGAGGGCAACCTCTGGTTCTCAGATATAAGTGGAAGTAGAACACTTCTGATGGGTGAAGTGAATACTTTTGGCAGCAAAGTGTGGAAGGCAGGGGCGTAAGCTAAATTTCTCTTCACTCTGAGGATTACCTTTTGCCAGTTTCCTGTATTCCATGTCTTCTTCTTTCTTGGTTTATGAATTTGGGGCCATACCATACATGTATTTCTTGAGAAATAATGCATGGGAGGTAAAATTTTGTCTTTACCTATCTAAAAATATCTTTGGGCTGGGGGTGGTTCAACAGTAGAGTTCATGCTTAGCATTAGTAAGGCTCTCAATCCCAGAAACCCCGCCCCCCCAACACATACACCAAATCTTAATTCTGTGCTTACTTTTGATTAGCTGGTTATAGAATTTGGAACTATATTTGGAAAACTATATTTGGATATAGTTTTCCTCCAGAACTTTGGGATTTTGCTTTATTTTTTAGCTGCTTACTTTGGAGTTAAGTCAGAATCATTCTAATTCTGGTTCCTTAGTCACTTGATTTTTTTTCTTCTCTGTAAGTTTATAGAATCTTCTCTGTCCCCAAAGTTCTAAAATTTCATGATACACATTTTGGTATCTCTTTTGTCTATAGATGAGAAAATTTCCACAATTATTGGGTTCTTCAATTCTATAAAGTTTTCTTGAATTCCTTCCTCTGTATTTTCTTTTTCAATTTATTATTATTATTTGGTGGGACTGAGGTTTGAATTCAGGGCTTCATACTTGCAAAGCAGGGCTTTACTGCTTGAACCACATCTCTAGCATGTATTTTTTTTTCTTTTAGAACTTGTTATTTGAATGTTCCACTTCCTGGACCAATCCTCTTAATTTTCTTATGTTAATAGCTTTATTTTCTAGAAGATATTCTCAATTTTATTTTCCAGCTCTTCTGAGCTTTTTGTTTTTTACTATTTTTACTTTCCAAAGTTTTTTCTTTATAATTTTTTTTAAAAAACATTTTTGTTGTTGTTCTTACAGTATTATTAATGTCTTTTATTCTGTGGGGTTATTGGTTTTCATTTTTTAACTTCTCTGAATAATTTGTCTTTTCTAGGGTGCTTTTCTTTTTAGTTTGGTTTTGGTCTCAGAGTTTCAGGGTTTAGAGGCTTTATTCAGATGTCTTGTTGTCCTTGGCAATTAACTCTCGTTTAAGAGTAGAGAAGTACACCAGTGGCTCACACCTGTAATCCTAGCTTCTCAGGAGGCAGAAATCAGGAGGATTGTAGTTTGAAGCCAGCTCAGGCAAATAGTTTGTGAGACCCTATCTTGAAAATGCTCAATATAAAAAAAGGGCTGGTGGTGTGGCTCAAGTGGTAGAGCACCTGCCTAGCAAGCATGAGGTCCTGAGTTCAAACTCCAGTACCAAAAAAAAAAAGGTAGGGAACTAGAAAGTTAATTGGAAACTGAGAAAGTGGGTGGATCCTGTTGACTGCCAATTTCACTGGTAAGGCTCCTCTGTCTTGACCCTTTGCTGGGAGCTTCTGGGAATATGTTCTATGAGGAATGTAACTAGCTAAGTCTCCTCCTGGTTCGTAGCACCTGGCTTGGCTGCTTTTGGAATGCTGATTAGGGTAGGAGAGCTGGAGATCCTATGTTCACTCTGCATAGTTTTTGAAGCCATGCCTTCAACTCTTGTAATCTATCCTTCAGCCTAGAGACTATTCTTTTAGCCTTTCTAGAGGATTTATTTGACTAGTCCACTGTTGATGGACATGGGGTCTAACTTTTCTACTATTGCATGTAATTCAGTCCTTATGAAAATATGCTTATAAAATAATCTTGTGTGTTTCTGTAGGATAGACTTCTAGAAATAGTTACCTGGACAAAGTAAATGGTGCATATGTATTTTGAAGTTTATTTGATATTGCCAAATTGTTGCCTCTCCCCTGCAACATATGAAAGATTGTATGCATTTATATTTATATTTAGCAGTTTATGTGTGTGCATGTTTCCTCTTCATTGAATATGTTCAGTCTTTTACTTTTGCTGATCTAATGGACAAACATCATTTGTGTTTGATTTATTTCTATTTATTTATTAGGCTGAAATGTGTATTTCTTATGAGAATTGCTGTTTATGAAATTTGCTAATTTTTATATAAATGTTTTAGATTTGGTTATTTTCTACATTTAGTTTGTGACTGACGGGGTAAGATAATACAAAGAAAACATTGTTCAAATATAGTTACTCCAGGGTCCTTATCTCTAATCTATTATTTTCTATTCAGATTTTTTGCAGTTTTTGAATGTTAATTTACATTTTGGTATTATAGTATTTTGATATAACTGGTCATATTTTAACTTTGGTTATTGTTGAAATAATATTTATTTGCATAATAGTATGCATTTGACAAAATAATTGCATAAACATAGTCTTACAACAGCTCAGGAGGTTGGTTGTATTTTGCAGATGAGGAAACTAAGACTTGGAGAAGTTAAGAAAGTTGCCCAAATGCCTAGTGTAATTCTTTGATAATAATACAGAAAGCAAGGAGACTCAGAGTCAAATCCTGATTCTGCAATTCATTTTGTCTATCTCACTAGCTACAAAATGATGTTTCATTCCCCTGTCTGTATTAGCAGGTAATATCTAAAAGCTAATTAAATTCTTAGATAATAAAGTGTCATTATGTTTTTATCTAGAAATGAACACAGAAACAGAACAACAGCTTCTCCATCATGCCAGAAATGGCAACGTCGAGGAACTAAGACAACTGTTAGAAACCATGGAGAGGAATGAAATAATGGCTGATATTAATTGCAAAGGTGGGCTTTGAATGGGATCTTTAGCTTTCTATTAGGAGTCTGCACTACCTCATTATGCTTCTAACATTAATCTTACTGATTTTGCATGTGATAAGTCTCTCTTAACCTTAGAAGAACCCTTATAAGATTGGGTGAAATGTATCTCCTAGTACCCTCTAAATTAGAGGGATCGAGATCCATTCTTAAAATTGTTATTGACCCTAATCTTAATAGACTGCACGGGTGAGCCCAAAGCATGCTGTGGCTGATAATTTTTTTTATTTCTTGAAGACATTGTAGTTGGGCCAATATGGATTTGAGTGATCACTGTTTGCCCAGCGTGTAAGGTACCTTGGAAATAATGATGGCAGAGACAGACAAAATATTTGCCCTTATTGAGAGTGGTCTACCAAATTAATAGTTTTAGATTAATTGATAAACTAATCTACATTACAAAAATAAGTTCCAGGATATGGAAGTGTAGGTGCTGTGGGACTGGGAAGGAGAGGCATGCACCTGGAAATTGAAGGATTAGCTTTTTGGAAGTGGTTCTAAGGAGGTAAGTAGAACAGTGTGTGGTAGTTAACTAGGTGAAGATAGGGAATAAAAGGGTGCAAGGCAAAAGAAACAGCATAGACCAAGGCCTGAGCTGAAAGAGAGCATATGTGACAAGGGCCCAAAAGAGAGTAAGAGGGAGGGCTGGTGGAGTGACTCAAGTGGTAGAGTGCCTGCCTAGCAAGCATGAGGCTTTGAGTTCAAACCCCAATACTGCCAGGAACAAAAAAAAAAAAAGAGGGGAAAAGGGGAGAGATAAAGCTAGGTGGGTAAGTAGCAGCCAAATCATAATGTGCCTATGTAGCAAGGTTGCAAGTATATTACCACGTCATACTCAGATGTGCAGGGAAATAGAATTCTCTAAAATGGTTTGGTATTTTAACAAGCTCCTTCATATTCTGGGAGTGAGGTAGGAAAAGTAAAAGTCTTTGAGTACCTCAGTAGCACTTTTGATAAATGCCTGATCCCCTGCCTCATCCCCTTAATTGGCAATTAAGTATAAAGGTGGGTCTTGCTGTATATTTGTGCAGTGGAGGCAAAGTATCCCTAATTCCATGAAGTAGCCCTTGGCTCTGCAGTGACCTTGGACTTCTTAACCCTTCTTAAGCATTTGTAACTGAAGTGAATCTTAGGTATGAGGTCAAACTTCGGTCTGTCAGTTTATCATGTGTACAAGTGGTGCTCCTTGGCTGTTTCATGCAACTCATCTTGGCTTTTATTGGCTTTGTGTCACCCTGAGCCTCCTTCACCTCTTCATCTAGTACCTGGCTTATGCTTGTTGGTTCAGTTCAGCCATACTCTTTGTATTACTCAGGCTTCTCCAGAGAAACAGAACCAATGGAATGAATGAATGAATGACTATATACATATTTATTTATAAGAGGGGATTTGTTAGATTGGCTTTCATGATCAGAGGCTGAATAGTCCCACAATGGTTCAGACTGGAGAGCTAGGGAAATGGTAGCTGCACAGTCCAAAGAAGCTAGAAGCCTTAGAACAAAAGAGTGATACCAGTGATGCAGGCTCCAGTCCAAGACTGAAGGCCTGAGAGCTTTTGGTGCAAGTTCACATTCAAAGGCTGAAGAATCTAGAGTCTGATGTAGATGGGCAACAGCAGCAGCAAAAACCCCTTCTACTTTTTCGTTCCATCTGGGCCTCCATTCTATTGGATGGTGCTGCCCAAATTCAGGACAGGTCTTCCCCACTCAGTTCACTGATCCATGTTCAGTTCTTTTCTGAACACCTTCACAGATATACCCACAAGTGTGCTTTACCAGTTCTCTAGACATTCCTCAATCTAGCCAAGTTAAAAAGCAAAATTAACCATCACACTCCTATTCCTCACTTGGGAGAGTGGTACATAGTAAGGTATGGGTATTTGGGAGCCTGGGTTGACTCTGGTTAGCTACAATGTAATCTTCCCTCCAGCTTCATTATAGAGCTTGCTTTGATGTGGCCACTTTGCAGGTAGATTTTAAGATAGGTGGCACACTAGGGGATCTTTTTCTAGCATCTTAGATGCAGCTTGCCTGTCTCACTGTCCCCTTGATGTATCTTACTTCCTGGGTTTAAGATCAGGAGCTACATGTCTCATCTTCTGTCTTTTTATTCTTCTACAACCCTTCTGTCCTAGGAAGGGCAGGCTTCAGATGGATGTATGGATATTTTATTCCTCTTTGACGTGGTCTCTTCCTGCCCTAGAGCATCAGACCGCATGGCCTCCTCCTCAATGAGGAAGGAGTGTTATCTTTGCAGTACAGGAGAAACTATGGTCTGAGTTGCCTAGAAACTAGTCTGAGTGGGTTAAATGAATTAAAAAATTTTGCATTATCCTTCAACAAAGACAGACTTAATGTTTACCATAGGATTGTATTTTGAATGCCAAAAACATTTGATAGTCCTCAGTGACCCTTTCCTAGCTACCCTCTTCCCCATCCGTGGTTGCCTCAGGTTAATCAATGGAAATGTACAATGGAGAAATACACGATAATTTCCCTTTTCAAAATTTCACTTATTATACCTTTGCCTGAGGGTAGTTTGAAGGGTTTGTTAGAGAAGTGACATAATCAGAGAATGTGCAGTTCTCTGATCAAAGAGAATGAGCAGGACTGGTTGTGAGTTGTGTTTCCATGTGGGATTTCCTTTCTTTCTGGCATTCTTTCTTTTTCTTTTTTCTGTTTGTGGAATTGGGGTTTGAACTCAGGGCCTCATGCTTCCTAGGCAGGCACTCTACCACTTGAGCCACTCTGTCAGCTCCTTGGTTTTCTTTTCTTACTTATCTTTCTAAATCCTGAGATATCACAAAATGGTTTAAAGTACAGTAATTCTCCTACAAGAGTTAAAGCTTTAAACAGTCAGCATAGAGATGCTGTTGTTGGAAGGAATCCACTGATGTCAAGTCAAAACTGAGAGAAAGAAGCACTGACATGCAGAGTTGAAGGTTAAACTCAGCATTTCTAGAGTCTGGGTTTTTCAGCATTTTAATATTCTATATAGAGGTCTGTTCTTTGTAAATACTTCAAAACTTAATGTTATTCATTGAGTTAAAAACTATATTAAGTAGTAAAGAGTAAAAAGAAGGAAGTATTTAAGAATAATTTACAATTTTGGAAATTGATTTCTTGATCCAGAATCCCCCTTAGAAACACTAGATATGAGGAGACCAATTCTGAAGTATTACAGTAACTTAGAGAAGCCCATTGTGGGTTAGCTGGAGACAGAATCAGTGGGAATGGAGAAAAGTCGATGTAATTAATACTGAGGAGGTAGAATTACCCAAACTAAGTTGGGGGTGAAAAGGAGAAAGAGGTAGGGTTGATGCTGATGTGTGATATGAGAAACTAGAAGAATAATGGCCAGCCAGTTGTAAATATGTGTGAGAAGGGGCATGGGTAGGAATTTTTCTTTTTGGTGGTGGTTCTGGGGTTTGAACTTGGGGCTTCACACTTGCGAGATAGGTGCGCTAATGCTTGAGCCACACCTGTAGCCCTATGGAATGGGTAGTTTTTGTGTGTGAATATATTTACATAGAACAAAGAATGAGCTCAGCTTTCTACTTTCTGAGAATGAGGTTCCCTTGTACCACTCATGGAAGTTGTCTAGTACAGAGTAGAAAGGAAGCCAAGCATGATGGTACATATGTGCCTGTAATCTAGCTACTCAGGTGGAAATAGAAGGATCACAATTTGAGGCTAGATCCATGCAAAAAGCTCAAGACCCTATTTGAAAATGAACTTAATCAGAAAGGCTAAGGTGTGACTCAAGTGGTAGAATACTTGCCTAGTAAGTGCAAATAGCAAGGTAGAAAGAGCAGGCAAAGAGTAGACATGGAAAAGTAGATTGAGGAGGAGGAGGATAGCTTATAGGAAGCATGGGGTCAGGGAGGGTTGGTTGGTGTGTTTTTTGCTGGTTAGATGGTAAAAGCTACTTGCTTGCACCTATGAGCACCTAAAGAGGGAGGTGGTGAGGATAGGAGAGAAAAGGAGTTGCTGTGAAGCCACAAGGGGTGGGGTCCAGGAAGAACCATTCATGTTTGACTAGAGGTGGGATGGGTGGCAGAAACCATGAAGTCATAGGTAGGATGGTAGATAGGTTGCCAGGAAGCCCAAGGAATTCTGTGATAGCTTCTGTTTTTACTGTGAAACTGAAAGGTGGAGGTGATTGCTCAGGGGTTATGACTCTGGGTAAGAAGCTTGAGGAAAGTAGTGCTGGATTGAAATACCTGTTGTGCAATATATGAGAAACAACTAAACCTGATATTATAAGGACTACCTTGCCAAAGTGTAGCATCCTGATTTCATGATGCCATCAATTTCCAGGATTCCAGTATTTTTCTTCACTATTGGTTAATAACCGGGGTTTGATTATGGAGAAACTGAGTTTAGTGTATTTATCAGGCTTTGGGATTTTTCTAGGTTGGTCTGAAAAAGGTAGTGATGCAAAGATAATGATAAAGAAATGTTGACATGAAGACTCAAGGAATATACTCCAGACTCATTGTAGGAAGTGAAGATAGAGGCTGTTTACATACATGAAAAAGTGATTTGAAGAGCTGAGAGACTGGTTAAATTCAAGAACAAGTCTGTTCACTTGTGAACAAGCTGGAAAGTAGGGTTTGTGGTAGAGAGAAAGATTTTGCCCAAAGATTTTGGTGATTGGTGAAGCTGGCAGAGGGCAGCAGAGGAGGCATTTGTTAGAGGTGTGGCTCAAAGAGGACTTACAACGTGAGTGGAAAAACTATCTACCAAGGACAGCAGCAGAATTTTAATATGGTGGTTCTTTGCATGGTTTCTGTTCAGTGAGGTGCAGTGGGTGTATGGGAATGGGAAACCTGCACCTGAGGAATTGGGGGAGGTCATTATCGGGAAGAACCAGGTTTTACTTAAGAACAGAAGGCAAAAGAAATGGTCAGTGAAATAGATGGAGGCACTAGATTTCTCTGTGTAATTAGAAGTTCTACAGGACACATATGTAAGAGGAGACAGATGTAGCAATTTGGGTAGATGGCAGACAGTCACAGGCACACTGTTGGCAGCTGCAGTCCTATGTGTATGTGTCAGAGGTGGGGAAAGGTAAAAGGCCTGCAATGGATACTTGGAAGTTGGTGGCTGAAGATTCTCTTGGTTTGGCATCTGAAATCCAGTAGCTGAAGGCTGTACAAAATGAAAGTGAGGGTAAGTGAGGTCCTACAGTCCACTTTGGACCATTAAACGACAGGCTCCTTCTCTAGAGTGGCCTGTTGGGAGCAGTGGACACTTGGGCTTTGATAGACCTTCCCGGATGCTGGGGTTTAGGAATTTGTTAGGCAATCTCTGCATCCAGATTTGAAATTTTGGTAAGTTTTTGGAGCCATCTCAGCTGTAAGCTATCATATCCTTTATTTATTTATTTTTTTTTTTGCTGAATCGAATTACATAGCTTTCATTTTTTGTAATACTTAAATTGCATGATTCCTTTCCTCATTTCTGCTGCTAGGATCTGACAATTCATTGTTTTTAACTATGGTTCTGGTTATCTAGTTGGACTCTCTAGCACTCCAGTAATCCAATATCCTCATTAATTGAGAATTTTATCTGAATTCAAAGACTCCATTTTCATTGCCTGTCTTTAGAACTAACGGTGTTCCAAATGCTACAGTAATCAGTAAATACTCTTCACTGACTTCTTGCATGGTACAGGTTTTCAGGGTTCCTCTGCACTACTACCCTGGACTCTTAAGTCTACCCTCCTTAGGTGGTATAGGATTTCAAAGACAGTTGCAAGAGCTGGGGCTGTAGCTCAGTGGTAGAGCACTTGCCTGGAATGTGCAAAGCCCTGACTTCGATCCCCAGCACCTCATGTAATCAAAGAGAGTTGTCATAAAATGTTACATAAAGAGAACAGTGTTTTTACCAAATGATGGCAAGATGGTTAAAGACCCAGAACCTTAGAGCCAACACACTGCCAGAAATCACATAGTTTGTACATAACCCTGTCTCTTTCTCCTCTGCCCTTTCAAGGAGAATATTGAGTCAGAAAGGTGGAATCAGAGCTGGGTCTTGTTGGTTCTACTCCATTGCACTTGTTACTCTTTTTATTATGTCATGTCCTTGGCTTCTCACTCATCAGCAGTACAATGGGGAGAGCCATTGGCCAAGCATAAAAGTCGCGTTAGAGGGAGAAATTTAGTTTATTTTAAAGCTATCTCAGTAGCATCTAAAATGTCCCTTATCTTTCTCCATTTTTAGGAAGAAGTAAGTCTAATTTGGGTTGGACACCTCTTCATCTGGCATGCTATTTTGGACATAGACAAGTGGTCCAGGATCTGTTGAAGGTCTATTTATGGCTTTAATTTTTAAATGAATTTAATAAATAGTATTATGAGAATTATAAGATGTAAGTTTTAGGAAATCTAACTGAGCCATAACATCCTATTTAAAGCAATTCATCAAAGATACTTAACTTTTCTTTTAATCAATTCATTTTTTTCTGTTGGTACTGGGATTTGAATTCAGGGCCTCATACTTGGTAGGCAGGTGCTTTATCATTTTTGCTTAGTTATTTTTTGAATAGGGTCTTGGTTTGTGCCCAAGCTATCCTGGACTGCAATCCTCCTAGTTACACCTTCTGCATGTCTGGAATGAAGACACTGCCTGGCTTATTTGTTGAGATGGGGTCAGGGGTGTCTCACTAATTTTTTTTTTTGTTGTTGTTGTTCTTGGCTGACCCTGAACTGCAGTTCTCCAGAGTAGCTGGGATTATCCAGCCTAATTGTTCATTTTTTTAAATTACTGGCTTTTTAAAATGGCAAAGTGGGCATATTTATTAATGAAGATAGAATTCTCAGTTTTATAAGCATGACAATAGAAAAAATAACCAAATGATCTAAATAATTAAAAAATATGTCAGAATCTTAGCACCCTACTTAATGAGAATTGAGACCTTGTAGTTCTCAGTATGAATAATTTTTCACATGAATATTTTTGCAACTGGGTTGCATCTCACAATTCATCTACATTTATATGCTGGCATTTTTTATCTGAAAATTTACCAGCTCAATGGTAGAAGAAATAGGATGACATTCAGACAGTTATTTTTCAGTATGACTGCTTCTAAAGTATAGCAAAGATGCGTAGATTTTTAAAGAAAAGTAGCTTTTTATTCTGCTTATCTGGTAGATTTTTGCCTTTTAGGAAAACTGTTTACTTTTACTATGAATTGAATTCTTAGTAGAGACAACCATAGGATTTTAATTTTGAAGCTTTTAATATATTTTGAAGGAATTGTTTTTACTTTTTTGTATTTCTTGGTATGTGGAAGATATGTAAAGTGTTCATGTTCACTAGGCCGGAGCAGAAGTGAATGTGTTAAATGACATGGGAGACACGCCACTTCATCGAGCTGCCTTCACAGGACGAAAGGTGAAGAACATTTTATTTTTTTTGTGATTACAAGTGAAATATTTGGAATAATAGTCATCACTGTTTTCTCAGACATAACCATCTGTCAAACAACTGCAAAAAGCCGTAAAAATGCATAAGCAGCCCTTTCTGTCAAAAGGGTACGAGATCTTGGGGCTGGACAAAGAGATCAGGTACTGATGTCAAGGTTCTCTATACCATCCCTGGTATGAGCTTGCTCGGCTTTTGCTTGTGTTCCCTAGCAATGGGGAACTTATTATTCCTTTTTAAAAAGGTTCCTTGACATATAATTCACATTACATAAAATTTACCTACTCTTAAGTTTACATCTCAGTGATTTGTAGTACACTTGCACAATCGTGCAACCATCATTGTAATTGTCTTAGAACGTTTCTGTTACCCCAGAAACTTTTCTGGGCCATGTTTACCTTCAGTGCCTGTGCCTCTCCCAAGCGCTGGGTTGTATCCTTATATTAATTTATTGCGGTAGTTTTTATTACTAACTTTTAATGTTGACAGTATAAGTTCTCCAGTCATGGTCTTTTAAAAAATTATTTTAGTCAGTCTCAGTCCTTTGTGTTTTCATGTAAATTTTAGAATCATTTTGTCAACTTTTATAAAAATGCCTACTGGATTTTTTGTGTGTGCTGGTGGGAGTTGAACCTGGGGCCTTGGACATGCAGGGTAAGCACTATACTACTGACCTACATCACAGCACCTGTTGGAATTTTGATAGTTCGTTTTGTGTGAATCTTCCAATTTATGAATATGAGATGTATCTTCATTTATTTTGATCTAAATTTCTCTCAGCAATGTGTTGAAGTTTTCAATGTACAGATCTTGCACTCATTTTATTAAATTGATTAACTCTGGAATCTGGAGTGAGTCTGGTCAGATGATATCTCTGCTCACTTTTGAATATTTTAGCATAGTTTTCTAGCACCTATACATCTGTGTAGCCTAGTGGTCAACCAGTATTTGGGTGGCAGTGGGCTCAAATCCTCGATCCTATGGACTTCTATCCTTTGTTTGGGGTCTGTGTATAGGTTGGAGAGCACTTTCAGAGTTTTGGCATTTCTCACTTCTGCCTCTTCTCTTTCTTAAGGGCCCTCTCTCATTTCTTCTGCACACAAGTGATGTTTCCTGGTAGCCTGGGGTGCGTGAGACTCTAACCTCCTACTGTGTTTCTTTCATTTCTAGGGTCTCCCTGTTAGTTATCAGGCTGTTTTGGCATTTGCCTTATGTGGTAGGCAGAATAATGGCCCCTGCAAGTGTCCACATCCTAATCCCTGAAATCTGTGAAAATGTTTGGTTTCATAACAAGGAGGACATTAAAGTTGCCAGTGGAACTGAGGTTGGTAGTAAGGTGACCATAAAATAGGCAAATTAGTTTGGTTTATCGAATATAATCACGAGTCCTTAGAACTATGAGAAGGAAGCGAGAAGTCAGAATTAGAGAGATGGACCCAGTTAGATTCAATGCTTATGGCTTGGAAATTAGAGAAAGGGCCTGGAGCCAAGGAATGTTGATGTCCTCTAGAAGCTACAAAAGCAAGAAAACAAATTTTTCTAGAGAATATCTGTAAGGAACCAGCCCTGAAATACCTTTATTTACCTATTTCGGACTTTGGGAATACAAAACTATGGAATAATAAATTTATGTGATTCGAAGCCACCAAGTTTGTGCTAATTTGTTACAGCAGCAATAAAAAGCTTCACACAAATAGGAAAAGCAATCTCATGCTACAGTTGGGTAGATTTTCCTATTTGTTGCCCTCTGAATTTGCCACTTTTACTGAGGATTCCTGTTGGTGTGAGTTTTTGCCTTTTGTTCCATATTAAGTTATTTCTCCCTGGCAGCTAACTACTGATTGTCATTGCCAGGGTTGGCCTGGGCAGACTTCTTTGGGGAAGTGAGGGAAGGGGAACTAATTACCCAAGGCTAGAAGGTTAAAGACATCTAACGCATTCACCTAAAGTTCTGTTAGTTTCTGTTGAATAACTATTTTTCTTGGTTTGTTGTTTCCTTAGTGGGTGTCTACCATGAAATGGTTAGTTTTGACAATTTTGTTCAGTTTTATGCTCATTTTTAAAGCTAACAGTTCTCTGAGCTCTTAATGCCGCAATAGCCAAAACTTATTCCACTCCATTTCCTGATTCATTCATATTCATTCTCTCTCTCTCTTTCTCTCTCTCTCTCTCTCTCTCTCTCTCTCTCTCTCTCTCTCGCCGTACTCAGGGCCTTCACCTTGAGCCACTCCACCAGCCCTTTTTTGTAATGGGTTTTTTCAAGATAGGGTGTTGTGAACTATTTGCCTGGGCTGGCTTCATACTGCAGTCCTCCTGATCTCTGCCTCCTGACTTGCTAGGATTACAGATGTCAGCCTGGTCTCTTTCTCTCCTTTTTCCTTTCCTTCCTTTCCCCTCCCTTCCTCCTTCCCTCAGTCCCTCCCTCTCTCTTTCTCTCCTCCTTCCTGTTCCCTCCTCTCCTCCCTCTCTCTTCTTTTTTTAAGATGGAGTCTTGCTATGTATCCCAGACTTGTCTCAAACTTGCTATGTAGCCCAGGCTGGCCTAAAACTCTCGATCCTCCTGCCTCAGCTTCTCAAGTGCTAGAATTACAGACATGTGCCAACATGCCAACCCCCAGAATGTATTTCTTTTTTTTGTTTATTTGTTTGCTCTTTATTAGTGTCTGTTAATTTTATATAATGAACTTTGATCAACTTTGCCTATCATTCTTTCTTACCTTCCATCCCCCTTTTTTGAACTTTTTTAAAATCAGGTTTCATTCTTCTGTTTTCTTACATGCATATTGAGGACTTTGATCATATTCACACACCTCCTCTTTATACCCTCCCATTGATTCCCACCCCAGACAGTCTCCCCATTTTACACTTAATTTTTGTACAAGATGAGAAGGATTTAATTTTAGTCTTCTATGTGTGGATATCCAGTTTTTCCAGCATCATTTGTTGAAGACACTGTCTTTTCTCCAATGTAGATTGTTGATGCCTTTATTGCAAATCAGATGGCTGTAGTCATGTGGGCTTATTTCTGAATCTTCTATTCCATTGGTCTATATGGCTGTTTTTGTGCCAGTGCCATGCTGTTTTTGTTACTATGGTTCTTTAGTATAATTTGAAGACAAGTATTGTGATACTTCCAGCATTGCTCTTTTGCTCAGGATTACTTTGGCTATTCATGGTCTTCCATATGAATTTTAGGGTTGATTTTTCTATTTCTGGGGAAAGTAACATTGGATTTTTGATGGGGATTGCATTGAATCTATAGTTTGCTTTTGGTGGTAGTGTAGTCATCTTCACAATATTAATTCTGCCAGTCCATGAACATGGGAGATCTTTACGTATTCTAGTGTCATCTTGAGTTTCTTTCTTCAGTGTTTTTATAATTTTCCTTGTATAGGCTTATTCTTAGGTATTTAATTTTTTTATTGTTTTATTATTCATATGTGCATACAATGCTTGGGTCATTTCTCCCCCCTGCCCCTACCCCCTCCCTTACCACCCACTCCGCCCCCTCCCTCTCCCCCCCACCCCCTCAATAACCGGCAGAAACTATTTTGTCCTTATCTCTAATTTTGTTGAAGAGAGAGTATAAGCAATAATAGGAAGGAACAAGTGTTTTTGCTAGTTGAGATAAGGATAGCTATACAGGGCATTGACTCACATTGATTTCCTGTGCATGTGTGTTACCTTCTAGGTTAATTCTTTTTGATCTAACCTTTTCTCTAGTTCCTGGTCCTCTTTTCCTATTGGCCTCAGTTGCTTTTAAGGTATCTGCTTTAGTTTCTCTGCATTAAGGGCAACAAATGCTAGCTAATTTTTTAGGTGTCTTACCTATCCTCAAGGTATTTAATTTTGAATGGGATTGTTTTCCTAATTTCTTTCTCAGCCTGTTCATTATCGGTATATAGAAAAGCTACTGATTTTAGTGTATTAATTTTGTATCCTGTTACTTTGCTGAAAGTGTGTAAAGGATCTAAGAGTTGGTGGAATCTTTAGGGTCTTTTAAGTATAGGATCATGTCATTTGTAAATAGGGATAATTTGACTTCTTTCTTTCCTGTTGGTATCCATTTTCTTTCTTTCTCTTGCTTTATTGCTCTGGGTAACAATTTATACACTATATTGAGAGTGGCGAGAGTGGATACCCTTGTCTTGTTCCTGACTTTTGCTTTTGGGTTTGGCTTATTCTTGTTTTTCTAAGAGCTTAAGGTACATCATTACGTTATTTTTTTGAGCTCTCTGTGATTTTTTTTATTATTCTTTTATTCATATGTGCATACAATGTTTGGGTTATTTCTCCCCTCCTTTCTCCTCCCTTTCACCCCCACCCCCTACCCCCTCGCTACCAGGCAGAAACTGTTTTGCCGTTATCTCTAATTTTGTTGAAGAGAGAGTATAAGCAATAATAGGAAGGACCAAGGGTTTTTGCTAGTTGAGATAAGGATAACTATACAGGGAGTTTACTCGCATTGTTTTCCTGTACATATGTGTTTTCTAAGAGCTTAAGGTACATCATTAGGTCACTTTTTTGAGCTCTCTGTGATTTCTTTTTTTTAATGTAGGAACTCATAGCTTTAAACTTCCCTCTTATCACTTTGTTTGCTATGTCCAAAAGGGTTTGGTAGGATGGATTTTCATTTTCATTTGATTCTGGGAATTTTTTTATTTCCTTCCCTTATTTCTTTGATGATTTACTAATCAATCAGGAGCTAATTGTTTAATCTCCATGTGTTCAAATATTTTCTGTAGTTTCTCTTGTTATTGTTTTCTAGTTTTATTCCATTGCAGTCTGATAAAATACAAGAAATTATTTCAATTTTCTTGTATTTGGTAAGACTTGCTTTATGTCCTAAAATATGATCTATTTTGGAGAAACTTCCATGGGCTGCTGAGAAGAAGAGTGTATTTTGTAGCCACTGGATGAAATATTCTGTAGATGTCTGTTAAGTCCATTTGGTCTCCTCTTGCTGGATT